TGTGCACATTCCACATAAAGATTGTGCACATTCCACATACAGTTAAACCTGAGTCAGGACCAGAAGAAATTATTATTTAAGCGAGATTATTAATTTATCGAGATTCTACTGTATAAACAGTATATGAGTAGTACTATTTTCCAATGTGGGACAAACAATAAAAACCAATTAATAAGATAAAGCAATTTTTGAATAGCTCACTTACATCACGAACAGAGTCCGGGTTCGAATGTGTAACCGGGGTTACAGGCAAGGATGACGTCATCTTCGTTCGAGGCGTAAAAATTCGCCACGAACGAGAAACGGACGAGGACGATGGTTTATCTTGTGTAACCATGGTTGAGGAAACTAACTCTGGGTTGTTCTTGAAGCTGCTCAGCTTTGGGAGGATACTTGTGATGGATGATGATTTGTTAACCCTGGTTGAGTTTGGAGTTAGGTTAAAGTTGACTCGTTTGGGGGTGGGAGTTGGCATCTTAATTTGAACAAACTCTTGTTCCAATGTTCTAGAAGGTATCTCCAAGAAAAGATTCGATTTCCTCCATTGTTTGCTGCTGCTTGGTGTAGTTATTTCTTCAGCCATGTCTATGGATTTTTGCAGCTGACATGCAAATTCAGTTAGTTTAATTTATTAATTACAGAAATACTATTCACGGTAAACTGAATTTGATGAAGGAAAAAAGAAAAAATAAATTGTAAAATGTTTTAGTTACCGTATTAATGGGAATAATTACTTGTGTGTCACAGACGGTGACTTTATCATGATCAATTATGGTAATCTTCTTCTTCTCTTCACCATTCATCATCTGATCACTAAAGATAAACACTAGAAATATTTATATATAAATAAATGTTACCTTTCTTTGCAACTGCAAACAGAGTTATATATATATATTTTTTTTTACTCACACTACTGTGTGAGAGAGAGAGAGAGAGAGAGAGAGAGAGAGAGAGAGAGAGAAGAAAAGTGCGGGATGGCCTCACTCTACACTAACTGCAAGAATGGGGCAGGGTGGATAGGGGGGGCATGGGCGTGTTGCACACAAACACACACCCACGTGTGTATTTACACACACTGAGTGTATTCATACTACAATTTTGTTCCGAAAGAATATAGTGTTCGTCCCTCGTACTAACGCCAATTTTATATTTAGTCCATCATGTTCACAAAAAACATATTTGATCAATACTTTTAGTCATCTTCGTCAATTTTCCATTAAAACTAATGGAATCAAGCGTATGTCCATCACTGCCTTAACCAACAGACTAACGGTAAATTGACAAAAATGACCAAAATTGTTAAATTATTGAAACATGAGGGACCAAATGTGTTTTTTGTTAACATCAGACATCAAATGTGAAATCGGTGCAAAATTGAGGTTGTTTTGTGCAATTAGCTCACTCTATAGAGTATACACATAACATATTTGTAAAAGAAAATAAATTTGTGTAACAGGGGAAAAAATAACAAGATTCCCTATTTCATGGACCAAAAATTAAAATAAATACAAACGTGTTGCACAATTTTTCTTGCTTTCGTTGACTTTGGTCAACGGCTGGGTAGGAAAAGTAAAATATCATACCGTCTTATGCCTAACACAAGACATCGTCAATAATCAAACAGTAGTGTCATTTTAAATTACAATCAAATAGGTGAAAAATTAATCCTTATGAACAAAAAAAAGGAAAAAAAAAGAACAGATTCTTTCATTGGATACTTTTATTTAAAAATAACAAAATAAAATGTGTAAAAGTAATGTGGGAGACCAAATTATCAACTGAAAGTTAATGGATGTGCTATATATTTCATTTCACCAGTAGCATCACATATTTGTGCTATGAATAGGAATCAAAACCTGCCACGTTGTACAGTAACCCTAGACAAAAAACAATGACACCACTTGCTCTTCAAATTATTAAAATAAAGATTTATCCGTAAGAAATAGTTCGGTCTGAAATAGTAAATTAATTAACACAAGTTCGAATCTTTTTGCCAATGGTCGTTAAGTCGAGCTTGCTTATAGAGATGTGGGCCCAGAGAATTTTGCATAAACAAAGACAGATAAGATTATGACAAAGGGTTTTAGATGGACGAGGATTTTTCTGAGTTGTTTATGCAATAGAATCTTCCATCCATAAATAAAGTGGCTTGGAACTCTAAAATCATTCGTTTTGATTTTTATTTTCTTTTCAAGTTCAAAATGTTTTTTTTTCAGCAATATTTTAATTAATGTGCGTTTAATTATTTTATTTGGAACCCCTGCTTTTGCTTTTTTTTTTTTTTCTTTTACACTAACTAAGATGCTTACACAGTGATTTTGGGGGAAAAGGCATTCCCCATAATCAAGATTAATATTTCATTTAGTAGTATTTTATAAAGAATCCGCCTGTAATATAATCAAACAATTTATTCGATAACCGGTCAATCCAAGAAAAGTTGCTATGATAACCACCATAAAAAATGCTTCCACGATTGCGATTATATTCGACAAATATAATGTAAACCATCTCTTTACGGTCAAAATTATGGTACTTACGGTGAAGTATATACCGCGTGAATATTTGACAGTTTCGAGCGACAATTAAATATACACAAATTATAATTAAATATAGCATCTTGGTCTTATTATAGATTGTAACATGCAATGTTAGGCAAAAAGCAAGATTAGTTAGGTTAAGCCATATTCAAAAGTTGTAGGTAAAGTTTAAGACAGGGACATAGGTTAGTACAAAAGTTGCTTCAGTAGCCAGATTGTATTCCTTTTCCTTGCATCTTTTTAAACTCCTTGGATACACGAGTTAGGCGCATAATCGGGAAGAATGCGATAAATATCGTTTTAGTTTGATAATGTTATTTCGACTTTAGACGTTATTTTGACCATTTTTTACTCGGAATTTGACAAAACTCAAATTACGTAACTTGTAGTTCTCTGAGTTAGTTTTGTAATCCAGCTTGAATTATTAAGATTGAATGTCAAGTGAAAAAAATATGCATGAATCCATATATATTTTCAACAACTTTGATATAGTTATCTCAAATTTAGAATGTAATTCAATCATGCATAATTTAATCGCTAAATTAAAGGATTACAATTTTTATATTTTAAATTTTGTCAAAATCATACTACAAAAGAGAAAAAAGTAGATTTAAAGTCAAAACAGTATTCAAAAAAATTGAAATGACGTTTAACATCTCAATAAAATAAAATTTGTCTATATGTTAAATATGCAAGTAATTACAATTGAGCCCAAAAGAATCTCATCGGTCCATTTAGAAAGTTCCTGAAATTGTCACAATCCAAAAGTCCAAGGAAAATTTACAAAGCACTTAGAAAAGCCCATTTTCTTGACCCGCAGTAAAATCGGGTCCCAAATCATTTCTTGGGTCGACCCGGAGCTCCGCCTAGTCTTGAAAACATATTATGAATTGTTTTGCACACGTGGCATTATATTTTGTTTTAGCAAATATATTTATTTTTTTGTTCTTCTAAAATAAGCTGTTTTGGATTATGATTTTGAAAATACGTCGGAAGCAGCTTTAATGGTATGAAAGTACTTTTTATAAATAATTAAGTAATTCAATTTGTGAATTTAAAAATTAATAATTTGGCTCTGTTCATTCAATCAATCAATTATATAGGTAATCAATCATGGAAAAATAATTATGCGTACGGACTCGACCCCGTACAAACATGTTCCACAGTTACGGTAACCTGCTTACACGTGTCCTCCCACCGACACCATTAACAACCCAAAGTACAATTAATAAAGCTAAGTACAATTAAACACTAATTAATTATCTCCTTAACATCAGCTAAATTATCGCTACAAAAATATAATAAAAAAAAGAAAAAAAACACACACACTGACACACACACAGAGATATGAAAAGAATCAGCTTCGCTGGCTTCACCCACACTTGACCACTTTTCACTTCCCTTCAGATCCAAACTTCACACCGCCATTGATCCATTATCAAAACCTCCAATCGAACAGACATTTTAGGGTTAGGGTTTCTTCAAATTCAATTCGCGGCTATGTGAGTGTGATTTCAATTTTCAACCATGAATTGAGTAGTGGGTGGGGCTGCGCCGCTTCAAGATGGGTTACAATTGGTCGGAGATGGCGTCAATTAGGGTTCCGAGAAGGGTCTGGTTAAGCTCCCAAATATCAATCGTATTACTCGTGGGTGGAAACCACACCTCCTCCAGGTTTTGCTCTCGCTAATCTGTGTGTTTCCCCCCTGCTTTTGTTAGTAGGCTTTTCTCTCTCTCTCTAGAATTTACCATAATTGATCTTTTAGTTACTATAGATCTGCTTGTTTTTTGAACTACTTGAAAAAAGAGATTCTCTGAAATTGGTCTTTGAAAGCGAAAAAAAATGAACTTGAAATGGCAACTGCTTCGCGGCCCGTTCATGAGGCGCGTGGTGTTGAGGGCTTTCATGCTCGTGGTGGCTGTGATCATCCTTTCGTTTACCCAAACGCCTCGCCGCATTCGAATAATCGACCCCGTTGTACTCGATATTTACGACGAATGCCCTTTCAACGTGGGCCCGGATACGAACCCGAAGTCGAATCACAATCTGACCGGTTTCTTCAATTCTGCATTTCCAATGTTTTTCGGGCCTTCTGCATCAACATGCAAAGGAAGCAAAAACTTGACCGATTACGTGCTTAAAGAATTGATGGAGAAGAATTTCCTGGACTCGAATTCGAAAGCATTGTGTGTTGGTGAGGGATCTTCGAATGCCGCTACGTCGTTGCGCCACCTTGGACTATACAATGCAGTGGGTGTAGACAAGCACCCCTTCTTCTCCCTTCTCAAGAGGAGATTCGTTTACGAGCTCGAATTCGAAGACGATCGTTTCGATTTCGTTTTCTCCGGTGATCTCGATAGGGTTTCGGTTCCGGCTCTCCTAGTCTTGGAAATCGAACGCGTTTTACGCCCTGGAGGAATAGGTGCTATGCTCGTGGGGGCCCGCAGGTTCTACTCGGGCGGGTCGGTTCGTTTAGCCGCTCCAATTGCCTCGTTCTTGAAAAGCTCCGATGTCGTCCGCATATGTGGCGTCGAGTCTTTCTCTTTGATAATATTCAAGAAGAGAAAAATCGAAGCTTTCCCACCCTTTGAGAGTATCCAACTCCCGTCCAATTGCCCGTCAATCGAAAAGAATATGCTCTCCTCGAAGAACAAATTGGTTTACATCAATGTTGGTTTGGGGGAGTTTGCGAAATCGAGCGTTGAGAAATTGTCGAAGCTTTATGGAGCTCCGTTTGAAGTGTTTGTCGTTGACCATAAAACGACCGTGCTTTCGTCTTACGTGACGAATCACGGGATCAACTTTGTCTACTATCCCGGTCTCGCCGGAGATGCTATGTGGGCCCCACCGATTAGTTCCGAGGAGAGTTTGAGTGCTCCGGTGCATGAGGAGGACTTTGACTTTGTTGGGTGGTTTAACGAGACCGTGACGGATGGGAGTTTTGTTGTGATGACGATGAGTGGTAAGTCGGTGGAGGTGAAGATTCTCGTCGAGATGTTTAAGACAGGAGCGATATGCCGTGTGGACGAATTGTTTCTCAAGTGTCCGGATTTTAAGGAGTGCGAAATGGGCTTGTGTGGGGACTGTGTGAATGTTTTGGAGAGTTTGAGGAAGAGTGGAGTGAATGTCCATCAGTGGTGAAGTATGGTGGTTTTCTTTGTTATGTTGTGTGGGTGAAATAAATTGAGGAGGGGGGACACGTGGCTTGTTAATCTCTCTCCTCTGATGTGTGAAGTGTGTTTTTTGAGGTTTATGTTGTTGTTATGTTTGATTGGTCTGTAATTTTACCTCTCCTGTTGTTTTGGAGGGTAGGTGTGTGCTGCTGCAACTTGCAAGTTTAAAACCTTTGTTTATGTAATAACAATGCATTATTAAAACCCTTGCCTTATGGCTTGCATCTATTTGTATTGTGTTTTTTTACACATTATTTCAGTAATTTACTATGCACCAATTTACGATTCCGAGTTTATCGATTTACACCAATTTCGATCCAAAAATTCCAATTTCGATCTTTTGGGACGGAATTGGGATTTGTTTGGATCTCTTTTTTTCCGAAAGTGTTAATTCTAATCCAATCCGTCCGATTTTACACACCTACAATATGGATTTTACAAACCTACAATATGTTTATAGTTGTAGATGTAAAACTGTAAATCAATAATTTTAAGACGAAAAAGCTTCTGGGATAATAGTGTCGAGTGAGATTATGTGTATCACAAAGACGAGCTGTTACGCTTACACCAGCACAAGTAGGGATGGATTGACATTGAGCCTTGTTCTCCAATCAACCAATCATGCTCTGCAACATTCTCCAGACTCATTCTTTGTCTCGGATCTGTAATAATGTCGAACCAATCATCGAAAATTAGAACTAAATGTCTTAAAAGCGCAAGGTGAAACATTATAAAAGAATCAATCAGTGTCACCTTTGCACAGAAGTCCCTCGAGTAGGTTCTTCAACAGAGGATTCATCTCCTCAGGAAGCAACAACTCCTTATTTATTATCTGAAACGTAATCGTCATTAACATATCTACATTCAATACACACACACACACACACACACACACACACACACACACACGCGCGCGCGCGCACGCCCCATATCTCGTTGGTCCCCCATATCTCGGTGGTCCTTACCTTTTCGTAGGTATCTTGTAGTGTCTCTCCAAGAAACGGGTAATTCCCCAAAACCATAAAGGCCCAGGTATCGGCTGCTTTTCCGTGATAGGTTGGACCTATATATATATAGATATATATAAATTTAGATGGTGAAAGATATGTTGGGTTTATTTGTATATCGATATATACCTGAACAGCACTCAGGTGCAGTAAATACAGGAGTTCCAGGAGAACGGCGAAGCAAATCATTGTCACCCTAAAATACAAATGTCGAAAAATAACATGAAATCGGAAGGGATTAAGATAAAGGGTTTTACTAGAAATTTTTTTTGTTTACCTCGAAAACCTGGCTGACACTGAAATCACATATCTTGACCGTGCCAGAACCGGTAACTAATAAATTATCAGGTTTAATATCTCCGTGCACTATATTCTGTTAATTGCAGCAAGTAGAACGCAATGTTAGTTAAATAGAAAACAAGAATTAAAAAGAAATACAGATAATCTGGGCACGTACATGAGAGTGAAGATACATCAAACCAGAAACGACATCACGCAAGTACTTTCTTGCAGTGTCTTCTCCAAGACCAAGTGCGGGACCCACACCATCAGAGACGCATTTGCCCTCCACATATTCAAGTACTGAAGAAAGGTATTATTGCAGTCAAATAAAACATATTCAAGTACTGAAGAAAGGTATTATTGCAGTCAAATAAAAAGTCAATATTTGCTGGAGGAAGGAGAATAGAAGGGAATATGGTAGAATACCCAAATATAAGTGATCTGCCGTTGGGTCATCAATAACTTCGACAAGATTGACTATATTAGGATGACTCAGCACTTTCATAATTAAAACCTGAAAAACGTACCATCGTTCATCATTTTTATGCCACAAAAGATATAGCCAAACATGACCCAACAATAATAATACGAGAAGAAAGTATCGAATACCTCACGAAAAACATCAGTCATTGCAGTTTCTGAAGGTCCAACTCGTTGCTTCAACAAATGTGACTTGTGAAAGGCCTATGTCCAAAAGTTAGGTTTTCAATTATTACGTCACCATATTATAAAAATATTGTATATACTTTTTAGTCAATACCTTCCCAAGTATGACAAAATACGTTACCTTTATAGCATAACGTGTTCCATCTAAACGGCTTCGGTAGAGAACCTATACATTTCGAAAGGCCACAAGAATTACATGTTAAATTACAACACTGAAAATCCAGAAGGTATTATATTTTCGGAAATAATAAACCTCACCACTTTTCCGTAACTACCAGCAGCTATCTTTCGTTCTCGAATGTAATCATTAATGGTCTTGTTTCCGTTTTCATCCTAAAAGCTTACAAAGTCAATACGAGCAGTATAACATCAATATTGACGATAATAGAAGATACACATGCCCAATCTCTTTCTACTGATACAAATATATATCGTAAAAACTTGCCACCCAATTTATACTGGAAATATTTGTAATAATCTTGCAACCAGATGTTCTGATTTATTCTCGACATAGTAAATATTTATCGAAGCTGTCCAGCTTGTCAAAATGGCAAAACAGATATTTCAAAAATTCACAGAAAATGAATCA